CGACCGATACACGACGCGATATCATTGAAGGGCTAAATACAATCAAAACCGGAAATCTTGCAGCAAGAACAACTTGGGGCATCTCCTGCAGTGCAGAATATCTTGCAAAAGCATCGAATTGCTACAACATGCTTGATTATATGGGGGAAAGTACCACGCGTTATTATGGCTCTGATAGGGATGTGGACTCATATCGCGATTGCAATCTTCGGATAGGCCCCTTGAACAGTCGGCCTGACTCAAGCCAGTATGCTATTCATTCGGTTGCTGAGCTTATATACGACGATTGTCGTCGTGCGACGTCAGAGATCAAGGTATCAGGTTATTCGCCGCAAAATACCAGTCACCGAAAGATATGCTTGAGCAGTAAAACCACTGGGTGCTCGTGATGTGATTGAAATCGTGAATCTTCTATCTAATACATGATCATCTAATTTGTGTTTTCTGAGCGCCGCAAAACTTCGACTCTCAGCTATTTGTATGAAACCCGACCTGATGGGCTCACGAAACAATGCTCATCATACAAGGTCTCTATGGACCCAGAATACAAAAGTTCTTCATAGTTCAATTGTTGAATCCTAATTGATCTGTAATCCGCGATTTGTGTAGTAAGGTCTTCTAGCTGCAATCAACCATTCATGTCTAAACAATACCGACAGAAGGAGACTTTGTGCATATACAAGACACATGCGCTGAATATAACAAAAATTTCAGCGAGAGTTCTGGGTACCTTTGTAGTTTACATATCTAGCTGTCACGGAACCGTTCTCAATCTGTCATTGTTCTCTTTGCTTTTTGCAGACGGGGCAGCTTTGCCAGGCCTGAAAGTCCCTCTCGCTCAATCATGCCCACATCACAAGAGGCTAGAATTGTCCTACTTGAGCAACATATTGGCCGGATAAACATGAGAAAAAATGTTCCCTTTCCCCGTACAAAATGTTTACAATGGCCCACTGTACATGACATGAGGTATGGAGTATCAGAATTCGGTCTATGAAGTAAAATGATGACGTAAATCCTATTGGGGATATCTCACTGACACGTCTATCCTAGTTCGGCATTTCAAGTCCATTATACCTTATTCAGGCTGCGTGTGTGTCAAAAGCAGGGCGTCTTGTGCTTCTCATGATAGAGTCATGAGTACTCAAATCGGTGCTGACCTAATCAACAATTAGTAACTGCATTCTACGACCTTTCGCTGCCCAGTTTACTGCGTAATGAAAGATACTTCCAGGTCTTTGTGATGAGCTGATTGGTTAGAGCAATCTCAGACCCACATTAGGCAACAACAAACAAGCTTTAGGTCTCAGTTTAATGATAACCTACCTTTCTGGCAGTTTTGATTTTTTCAGGATCATCAGCTCATATTCTTCCCACTCCATGTTACTCTTTAGTTTTCTCGTCTCGAGTATCTTCGCATTCACCATGGAGGCTATCGTGGACTCTATCCCCGAGCAGTTGTTCCTTGATCTACGAGTCTCTGCGGTCCGCAACAGAACCGCGCGTATCAACTTGGTGGAACCATGGGCTTCCGAGTATTGCACTGCTGTCTTAGAGAAGCGATATGGTGATGCGATATTTGCTCGATACAATATAGCTGGACAGGCAGTGGATGGTGTCTATACCGAATGGAACATTACTGTCTACGATATGATCATGTCGGATGCCCAGGAGTACGCACAAGACCATCCGGAGCTCTACGCCGATGCCTTACAGCTTTACGTCAACACAAATTCGACCGATACACGACGCGATATTATTGAAGGACTCAAAAAGATTACGTTTGATTACCCATTATCTTTGCCAGCCTGAAGAGCGGTTCTAAGCTTCTGATCTCATTCATTTTACAGTGAGCTTACAACCATCTGCCTCATAGCATGAACTTCAGTGTCACTAAGCCTATTATCAACGTGATGCATCTAGTGAGAGCTCCATAATCCACTTGCCGTCTACGCGCAATTTGAAGGTTTCATTCTACAGGTATTATCAGCCCGCGTCACAGATGCAGTAACGATAATACATATGTGATGGAGCATTAGAACGGCCGGTTTCAAGTACCAAACACATGAGCAGATACAATCGATATACAGTTCAGGTTCACTTTTGTTGTCTTTAGCTTCTGGTAATCTTCGATGACATTGGAGCATCTAGAACTCAAAACCCTATGCAAGGGTGCAAATCTTGTGTATAAGGTGTGGTGTATAAGGTTCCATAGGGGGCGATTTTTCAGTGATATCTGGACAGTGGCAAAAATGCGACTAACCTGCCGTTAAAGTCTTGTTTGAGTGTTCGCTCCTGAGAATCAACGGTTTTCTTGATCACCTAGTTACGCTATTGCAACTTGTCATGGCAACACACGAGAAATTTTAGTAAAACTGATAGCTTAGTCTATCTCCTGATCTAACTCGGGGAAGCTTTTGTACTTCGACTGCTATCATTACCAAATTGTTAATGCTTTCTCCTTCGGAACTGAACTTGGAAGAAACGTGCAACCCGAGAGGATAATCCTGAATAGGAACACGTTTCCAATACCCAGGCTTGTATTCCTCATACCACATGACCTGACATCCAGACTGCCATATATCGGTGTGGAACTGGCTGCAGATTTGGGTCGCCTCCTCGGTGTTAAGAAATTTGTGAAACTTCTCCAACGTCTCTGGCGAGCACATAGAGCAGACTTGTTACAATAAATTAGAATACATAGGGTGAACTTTCTATCATGAACTCTGTCAGAATGTTCAGCCTCGATAGATATAAACGCGGGAGATGAGATTGTTACATCACCTTTACGTATTTCAGAACCTGAAGAACGAAGTCGAAAAAATGGTACCCCTCTTGCGACAAACGAAAACTTCTATTATGTAAAATGACCCTCTTTGCAACATTGGTAAATCAAACCTTCTTTGTTCTCATAATTTATTATGGAAAATGATGCGGAGCGAAGAGTGGTGGAGTACCTCTTTCTCCCACGCCTTTGAATTCAAAATTAGTAAGAACAGCAATATTCGACTTTTCGTAGAAATGCCGTCGATTAGTCCCTTATCGACGTCATATGACGAGATATCGTTAGAAACCCTCAAAATATTCTACTCATCAGCTTAGACAAAGATAACTTGGGTTAATGTATTGATTATCTTATCAAAAGCTCAAACGTAGATTTGAACATGAGTGGCTTCACTTGCACAGAACATGGTAGTGTCTTCAGAAGTGAAGCCGACCTTATCGAGCATATACGCAAGCGCCACTACGCCTATTTCATCAGAAGGCCTGGTCGACCAGGAATCATGGACAACCATGGTCATATTTGGTATTGTTTCGAATGCACACGATCTACGAGCGACCACCGAAGTTTTGATTCTGATGGAGCCATGCTAGATCATCTGAAGCAATGTCATCCGGACTTTACAACTTAATTTCGAGCAATAGCCCCGCAACGGTTAAATACAATTGATGACATAGAGCTGGCTGTATGCCGTGATAAAATGATATGCTAAAATGATCTTGGCGGGAATCACCTCTCTTTGACGAGCTGTTTGAACGAGAACGATTACCAAAATATCGACAGACTTTCTGAGTAGGGTACCACCGGATAAACCTACGTGAATAAGCAAAATTCCTGTAGCACTGGAAGCACGTTTACTTAAGATTTGGAAGTCTGTTGAATGTCAGTAATTTGCCCATTCACAAGGCCACTTCATAAGGTGATGGAGATTGAAACGGGAAAAGAAATTGTATGACGGCACAAGATGTACAACAGAGGCCAGCGGTGGCCCTCGACTTGCATCGCTGAAGCAGATCTAAGACGTCATGCATATTAATTTAGTTACATCGCTATAAAAAAGCGGTTTCAGGAAGCTACGCTACGACTGACTAGGTGGCTCATGAAATTCAATCATATCATGACGTGTTTTTCTCATTTATATCTCTTTCGGGCTCTTGATATCTGCCAACTTTGTTCTGACGAGTATTAATGTTTAAGGGCGCTTGTTTGACAGGTCCACCTCTTATTGAACCGAGTAGATCATAACAGTTTCTGCGTTAATCAGCAACACTGTTAAGGAAGATATCATCCTATGATTTCCGGGGACCGACTCAATAATCGATTTAATACTTTTTAAAGGCTTGGTTCAAGTTTGTGTTTAAGTATTTGGTTGGCGAGAGATTGAATATGTAAATACGTCCTTTTAAGGATGCAATACTAAGATGAAATTATTGATTCAGAGATACGTGGGATCTTGTTTACCTGAGTTGTTGATACCATTGTAGATACTTAATGTTTGATTCCATTTGCGTTGTGCTAACGACGCATTTGGACTAGTGGGGGGGTCTGGTCAGCCACGCTACAAGCAGTGATACAGCTAGGCTAAAGAGCATTACAAATTATGGTCTACCTAGACATGAAGTAGTGCCACCATGACCATGGGAAGAAAGTGAGACGATCTGTTCAAGGGACCCTGAATTATCGTTACTGAGTTCAGAGAATCCTTTATACCATAAAAAATATGCTATAAATTCCAATGCTCCAGATCTTATCGTTCTTCCAGAAATTTGGTTTGAACCCCAAAAAACCATCAGTTCCTCTAAATTTTGACCCTCAACGTGTACAATCTGTAATCTGCAATGTGCTTAGTCAAAAATACTATCCAAGGGCGTATCCCATCAGTAGACCGAGTCCTTAGGAAAGATCTCAATTTTTGGGAAAACTACAGTCTGAGCGTTGGCCTAGATGGAATTTGCGTGACCGGGACTTCGAACAAGGCGAATCAAGACAGAATGGTACACATGGGAGAGAATGAACAGAGCGTACTCATGACTGTGTCCAGATTCCGAGCTATGATTCTCATGTGTCAAGCATGGAAGACGAGGTGATCTTGCTATATTTGCTATGCTGAGTGTGATGCTAGAAGAATCATGGAATGCAAATGCATGCGGACTTTGGTTCTTCCCGAGCTCATTCCAGAAGCGAGAAGTGGATAATGGTTCATAATTGTACCAAACCAAAACCAAAAAAATCAATTCTATGAGTAGATATATTAGGTTCGGAGAAAGTTTCAGAATTCACTGAGCTTGTCCCTCAAACGCTAAACTTCTAACAACATTATTGCTTATCATTTTTTTCTGATAAGACTGCAATGGAAATACTGCCTGTTGCCTATCGAGGAATGTGAGTCCGCCCAAAAAAGGTATCTGAAGATAAGATCACGGCAAAACAAATGAATTGCCATGTTCGTTGGCATGAATATAAAGACTATTCAAGAGTGAGCTTGACCATATTCAAGCCATATCATTCTTAGTCATTTTCACAACATTTCTGCCCCTTCCGCACTTTTCGCGCGAATGCTAAATCTCTAATCCTTAAACCTGGATCACCTGCGTAGATACGAAAGCGCAACAGCTTTGATATCCAAAGTCAACAAAGCGAGACCCGCTGGTACAGATGAAGCAACAAACCGAGGACAGGGAAGCCAATCCCAATATCCCGCAGCCACCAGTCATACCCCCCAATGAACCATGCTTGCCTACACCTATACTGCAGCTCAGACTCCAATTGAAAAACTTGATTGATCCTTCATCTCATCATATTTTCGCTTGGTGTGTCTCATGCGCAAACATCTTATTTATCCAATGCGACGCGGTAGCCGACCTTCCATATATGTCCAACGGCAAACGTTCCATCGACCGCTGTGAGCCTAAGTCTGTCATGATTGCAGTGAGCTGCCGATTTTGCTTCGGTGTTACCTTTCAGAAAGTATCTTCAGAGATGTTTACAATCTTGAGTCTTAGCCCGGAATGGGTGGTCAGCACTTTTCTGTATCAGAACCTGGGAAAAATTACATGCAGGCCAGACACTATACCACACAAGGATAAACAGATCATTGCTGTACCGATAGACAAGCTTGTAAAGGATCTGAAGTTTTCGAATGGACCGTGTCGCGTTCTTGGGTTGAAATCCACTGCTGCTCATCACGCAGACACTTCTATGGAGGACCTGATAGCCCCATTTGTGAGCAGTAACTTCATTCGAGAATTTCTATTGGGTTTCGGAAGGATCTGTGACTGGAACACCTCAATACGCTTCACGTGTGTATCTTAAAATCTCCCCTTGTGCAGGAAAACCATGCTTGTTACTTTTGTAGTGAATTTCCTCTGTTGCGGAAGACCAGTACACTGACATAATATAGTATTTAGCTCCTCAAGTCAGGAACGCTCATCATGACGATGACTCAACTTTGTACCATAACTAACCTCTTTTAGGTAGTTAGCTATCGCGCTGCGGTACCATAAATGATTCCTCAGCTACAATCTCGCTGGCCAAAGTGAGCATCGTCGTACCTCTCAGAGGACCATACCTCTCATGAACGAGAGCTTGTTGCAAGACTAGACTATAATCACTCTTCTTCCAAGGTACCAGTCATTTCAATTCGACTCTCCCGAAGTCAAGCGGAAACAAGCCAGTTCTAATGTGGTTCGAGTGGTAACCAATGCTTGGCGAAACTGGCCTGGCAATTCTGATTTATGAGAAATATTAAAAGAATCAAGGGCCGGGGAATTCATTGAAAGCCATCTTTTTGGATGCGATTAGATGATAGGTAGGCTGTTGAACTAAACATTAAGATATGGACACCGAAGCTTCTTCACATGATTGACACAGGTGCTCCAAGGATTCTACAAAAATCACAGATAAACCGAGAATGCCAAACCTAAAGACCAGTCTTGGGCTTAAGAAGAAGTTGAGTCTGCTCTTGGAAGGTGAAGTAGTCCAAACGTTCAAACGCAGCATAATCAGGAGAACTTAATATCTTTCAGTCCATGCTAAGAGACGGTGAATATAGGCAGGTCTTTCTAATTAATTTCGTAAAACCAACTAGCTGATCATGACCCGTTGAGGGCAGAATAATCGACAACAAAACACTAGAACAATGAATAAGTTGACAGAAAGAGAATTTGAAATCCTCAAAAGACTACAACTCAACCCAATTAAATCTGGTTCATAAAGTGAATTCACTTTTATCTCAGCATAGGACATTTCAACACCACAGATCAGGACGTGCGATTTGTTCACTATTTCTGAATGTGAAACCCAGGGAGTTAAGATATTTTAACATCTTGGCTCTCAACGGGTGAGAGTGCTCGTCTCTGATAAAGTCAAGGTAAATTTTTCCAGTGCCAGCAAATATTGGAGAGACAATTTTCAAGTCCTTTCTCTCCTCACAAAAAGCCTTGAGAACAGCAGCTGATGATTCGGTGAGCCACACATCAAAATGAGTTATCATACCCGGCTCCTGCTGTGCCTGGTTTGCTTGCCGTACTTGTGCTGCTTGTCGTAGTCGCCGTGACCTTTGTGCTTGCCGTGCCTTTATTGCTTGCTGGCGGTGTGCTGATAGTGCTTTTTCCAGTCTTTGTCGTGCTTGCTGGGCTCGAAGTGACTTTGATTCCTGCTGTTCTTCCAGTTTTCGTATATCTTGCAGCACTTCCGCTTCTGCTTGTAACGCGTGCATTTCTGCTTGTAGAATTTGTAGTGCGTATGCTTGTATTGCTTGCAGCGCCCCGGGGGCTTGCAGTGCATCTAGCACTGTAACTGCTTGAGGTGCTTCCAGTGCCGCTATTATTTGTAGTGTCGACATTTCCCAGAGGATAATAACATCGTAGCCATGACGGTTACAGTACCATCGCATATTTGCGAATCTGCGCCAAACTTCCAGGCTGCCCATCAACGAAACCACAGTAGTGGGAGTACATAGCTCATCCGCTGTCTCATAACAGACCCTAAAGCTAGGGGCTCCCATTGAGTGCATAGAAAGTTAAGATTAGGGGTAGAAGACAGACTCGAGA